AGGAGGGGGAAACGGAGGAGGAGGATCACGAGGAGGAGGAGGAGGAGGAAGAGGATGATGATGATGATGATGAGGAGGAGGAGGAGGAGGAGCAGGAGGAGGAGGAGGGAAAAATGAAAAGGAGGAGGCTGGGGCCACGGAGCCGCGCCGGCCACGAGCCGTGGCCAGCTCGGCCGTGCGGCAGGACCTCCCGCCCCGCGAGCGGCAGCACGCGTCAGCGCGTGCTGCCGGGGCCGCTCGAACTGCGGGGCGGATCGCAAAAAAAGCATCCTGGGGCTCTTCGGACCCTCGGGCGTTCAGCGGCAAGCGTGCGATTAGGTCGGGCATGTCCCCTCACCACAGGCGAATTTTGGATGGAAAGAATGAGAATACCCAAAACATGCTCAAAAAAGTGCTGAGAAGTGGTCGAGAAATCGTCCCCAGACTGATTCTTGACTATCTTTGAATATTCCTCCTGTAGAGGGACAGGCCCGATTTCAACATGCGAGCAAGACGCAGATGCGAGCTCGCACAAGGAAGCGCACGCACGTGCCCGTGTGGGCGCAAGCGGCGCGAGGCCGCGGCCTCTCTCAAGCCCTGCAGGACTCTGGCTCGCGTGAGGCTCTCCATGGCTGCAATTACAGTGGAGACCCATGCCAAGAGACACCCTGGCTGCCTCCAGGGTGCCCTGGGTTTCTTGGGTTTCCATGGTTTTGCCATGGAAAGCGCGACGTTCCCACACCAAACATCAATGTACGTCCTGGGGTCTCAGGCTTGGGTTTCATGTGAGAGGTTTCTTGTGGACTGGCCCCCACTGTACGTCGGGCCTGTCCCTCTACAGGGGGAGCATTCAAAGATAGTCAAAAACAACATGTTTGAGGATTTGGGGGGTATTTGGGGGGTATTTGGGGGGCTGTCGTCCAAAATCGGCCTGTAGGGGGCATGCCCGACCTAAGGCTGCAAACTGTAAACCGAAGTCGGAATGCTGAGGGGGTGCCGGAAGCTGGGGACGAGACGAGACGAGCACATGGAGTCTGCAACTGTCTGGACGTGCCCGCAGCTTTACACGGGACCCTGGGAGTGGGCCACTTCGATCCTCACGAAGAGTTCTTCAAGCAAGTCCGCGACTCGCACTCCTCGTGTGAGGCACTGGCCTCTCGCCACCTCGGAGGCACGCAACCCCGAGCGAGGGCCGACTCAGACGGCGCAGGAGCAGCCACGAGCAAGATACGTACTCCGCTGCCGCGGCGGCGGGCACCGCCTGCCGCCGCCCGCTTGGGCAGGAAGCACGGCGCGGGCACCTCCTCGACGCCCGGGCCGTGGTCCTCAGGACCACGGCCCGGGCGTCGAGGAATGCCCGACCGTCCCGGCATTCCTATAGGCCTTCACTGAGCAGGGACCGACCGTCCCGGCATTCCTATAGGCCTACCACGAAATGCTCTTCGAACCCAAATATGTTCTCGGAGCAAAAACCATGTTCTTCGAGCATGAGCCCGATGTGTCAAGGCAAGACAGACTCAGCCAGAAATGTTCTAGGAACATTTCGTGCAGACCACAAAAGGTTCTTAGAACATTATTTGGTAGGCCTATTGGCGAATTTGGACGCTTCGCCACTGCTTGACATCACTGGTCGGTTCACGCCACGTGCATCGAGAGAACGGACAAAAAGGCAGGTTCTCGGTGTCGCAAATGTTTGGCTGGCCCGGTCGCTGGCCCACCTGACGAGAGGCTGGCCACCAGGCCCTGGCCCGTGGAGACGCCAGCCTCATGGCGGCGTCGCGGGCCGACGTCACGAGCCGATCGGCGCTCGCGGGGTCGACGAAATTGGCGAACGCATGTTATGAAAAGAACAAGGGTTACTTGCCCACGAAGAAGAACGGATCAGCCCGAAGGCGTGGCCCACCGGCGCACGTCGGCAGGACTACATACGATGCCACCGGCTCCACAATTTGCCGATCGGCACGCTCATTGAGTTACTAGCCGGTACGGACTCCACCTTCCGCCAGATCACACATTGAACCACTTCATCAACGCTCCGAGTGGATGTAACGTGAGACGCTGCCGAGAAGAAAATGCTTGTTATCACAAGCGTGGAATCCCAAGCTCCTGCCCTGAAGAGAGGGGGAGAATGAGCAACGCGAAACGCTGCTAAGAAGGAACTGCTTGGTACCGAAAGCATGTAAGCCCGAGCACCTGCCTGCACGAGGAGAGATGCCAAGGCAATTCTGTCCCAAACATCAATCCCAGGCACGGACAAGCCAAATCAGTGGCAGAGTGCACGCAACTCCAGGAAAAGAAGGAAGAAGGATCATCGAGTGCCTGGGCTGCGCACCGTTGCCGTTCGCGTGCGACAGATCCCAGAATGGAGCAGACCCGTGGCAACCGCCTCCAAGCGCTCGCTCCCGAGAGCCTCTTCATGCCTCCCTCCCTGACCCTGCGCTGTCTGCCCCACCAGGCCCCCCACCCGCCCCTGGCGGCGCCTCCCGTGCGGCTGGCGCCTCACTGACCCCCGGCGCCGCGCTCACCCCGGCGGCAGCAGCGACAGGAGCACCGCCTGCCGCTGCTCCAGCTCCTGCTGGCGGCAGTCCCCATCCACGCCCTCGATCGGGGAGAACAGGGCGGCGCTGAGCAGCGGGGCCCACTCGTCGTCGCCCACCAGCGCGCTGGTGCGCTGGAAAGGGCTCCCTTCGGGGGGCCCCGAGGAGAGGCGGGGACTTACCCGTATCCACCGCCTGGGAACCGACGCCCTCGTGCCCCAGCGGGCGGTGGATATGGATCTGCGTCGGCCCCCGGGGGGGCCCGAACATGTCCACATCCACCGCCTGCCGAGGCTCCGAAAAAACTCACCCTCCGGGCGGTGGTCGTGCAGGAGGAGGAGGAGGAGGAGGAGGAGGAGGAGGAAGAGGAGGAGGAGGAGAGGAGGAGGAGGGAGGAGGAGGAGGAGGAGGAGGAAGGAGGAGGAGGAGGAGGAGGAGGAGGAGGAGGAGGAGGAGAGAGAGGAGGATGAGGAGGAGGGAGGAGGAGGAGGGAGGAGGAGGAGGAGGAGGAGGAGGAGGAGGAGGAGGAGGGAGGAGGAGGAGGAGGAGGAAGTCCCGCCCTGGCCCCGAGGCCTCCCGCCGCGCGCGGGGGGCCTCCGTGGCCGCGCGCGGAGCGGCGGGCGCCCGGGGATCCCGGAGCACCTGCGGCAGAGGCGCCCCCAGGGGCGGCCCCGGGCACGACGGCCGCGGCGAGGCCGACGGGCACGACCGAGCGGCTCCGCCTGCGGCCCAGGCACGCGGCGCGCCAGGCGCCGCCCCCCTGCCCGCGGGGGAGCGCCGGAGGGGGGGGGGCCGGCGCAGGGGGCGGAGGGCATCGGCCTGGGAGACGGGCGAGAGGCGGCGCCGACGCAGAAGCCGGAGGCGGGCCCCGCACCTGCCGTTGGGCGGGGTGGGCCGGCGGGGCCCCCCCGGGGGGGCGACGAAGGGGCGGTTGGGGGGCCGATGCAGTCCCCCCGCCCCCTGGGCCTGCACCACCCGCCCAACGCTGCCCCTCGGCCTGCTTGCCCCTCGGCCTCCTGCTCGAGCGGCGGAGCTCCAGGGCTTCACGGCTGCTCCACAGCGCGACGGTCTCGCTGCAGGCGTGGCCGAGCTCCTGGTCGTGGGGGCGAGTGGGCTCGCCCTGCTGGCGGCCCATGGCGAGGGAAACCAGCGAGGGTGCCATGGGACCCTGCAAGAGGTGCTGCCCCAGCACAGCTCCGGCGACGCCGCTCGGCAGCCAGACGTCGGCTTGAGCCAAAATGGCTAGGGATGTCCTGGGGTGGGGCTATCTTGAGTCACCCCATGGACCCTTCTGGTGCGTCTCACGGCTCTCTTGGGCCGTCCTGGGCCCCTCCTGGGCTGTCTGGGATCCTTTTTGGGACTCTTCGTGGAACCCTTGCCAGCGGTCTTGGAGAGATCCTAGGGGCAGCTGGAACCGTCTTGGACGCGCCGTGGACGAGAAAGCGAATACGAAACAATGATTAACAAATCCGATGGGAAATCCATAGTCCTAGGAGGTGCTGTTGGGGCCCCCTTGGGCTTGCTTCGGGGAGGTTCCTGAACAAGGTCCTGACCTCACCAGTCCCCCAGGGCAACGGTCGGTTCCCCGCGGGGAGGGCTAGGAAAAGTGTGCTGCACCTGTGTATACAGCAGCCTCTACAGGCTAAGCCTGTCTGGAGCGTCAGCCTGACTCCATCCAGAACCCAAGCCACTTCGATGTTCCTGCGGGCCTTTTTTTTGATGACCGCTAGAACAAGGACAGTTCGAGAGGTGATCGACAGGCTGTTCGACCAGCTGCTTCCGAACACATCCGAACAGCAGGCCTAAGTAGACGCTCTGGTGCAAGGTGATCGGGATACACACGTACACACGCACCCCCACACACACACACACACACACACACACACACACACACACACACACACACACACACACACACACACACACACACACACACACGCACGCACGCACGCACGCACGCACGCACGCACGCACGCACGCACGCACGCACGCACGCACGCACGCACGCACGCACGCACGCACGCACGCACTCACGCCACACACACACACACACATACACACGCCACACACACACCCATCACACACAGGACCGCATTTGCTTATGCCAATATGCGAGAGCTCGGACGCACAAAAAACAGGATCTCCAGTCTTGCTTGGGCAGCCTGCCGTCAGCGTCGTCTCCTGGATGAGAACGCAGACGCGCGATCTGGACAAACAGAGAGACCACCCTCGAACTCCTCACGGCTTCGTCCCTCCTCCCTCCGCGTGCCCAGCCCGCGGTCCTGTCGTGAGGGTCCTGAGCCTGTCGCGCAAGGCATCCCAGGTGGTGAGCCCCGAACCCTCGAGCATGCGCTCGCCGTCGATGCAGCAGAGCTCCTGCCGCTGGCGACACCGGGACCCGACCGACACGACGGCGAAAACACACCGACCCAAACCAAGGTGCAGGAGGGAAGAGGAGGAGGAGGCTCAGGAGGGAAGAAGAGG